CCAGCTGCTGTGAGCCCCCAAGGCCGGCAGAGCCCAGCAGGGCCCCGGGGATGCCGGCACTGGGACCTCCTGCACGCCGGCCATGCAGCGCGGTGGAGCAGGGTGAGCTGCAAAGCTGCCATCAGCGGATCTCCCCAGCTGCACCCATGGAAAAGAGCAAAGCCCAGATTTCGGTCCTCGGGTGAGCAAGCAGGGATTGGATTTGGAAAAGAGAAGGGGGTGCTGTGCTCGCAGCCTCCCCCAAAGGTCAAGCTGCTGATCTGCCGCGGGTGCCCCAAAGTGCGACGGCTCCTTGCTGTGATGGTCCCTTCATGGGGTGGAAGGTGTCCTACGCCTCGGCCCTGCCTGGGACAGGACGGCTCTGCGCAGGTGGCACATGGCACAGGGTCCCTGCCGTCCCTGCCTTGCGGATGCCCCGAGCCCAGGCGGCAGGACAGGTCAGACAGACGTTTTTCCAAGGCCAGGGGTTCTGCGTCCCCACAGCAGATTTTTAGCACTTGCAGTCTGTGCCCTTCCGGGCAACAGGGCTGGAGAAACAGGCTCTGCTGCCTCCCTGGACTCATGTTCCCTCCTCCAGGCCGAGGGGCAAAGCTCGCATGGGGACTTGGCGCAACCCCGGCCATGTCGGACCAGCTGCTGTGAGCCCCCAAGTACCCTGCTCCACCTGTCAGTCATGGTCTCTAGCCTGACCACGGCCACCCCATTCCCCCCAGCCAGGAGATTTGTAAGGGAACTCAACAGAGAAGTGAAACCTCTAAACGTGTGCAGTACCCTGCTCCACCTGTCAGTCATGGCGTGGTCACAACACGCCATCCCCAGCCACCAGAGATCAGAGGAAAGAGGCACCACCACAGAGAAGACAAGACTTTTTTAAAAGGACCATTTCCACAGCCTTGAATGATCTCTTGGGGCCACGTCTGGACACGGCTTCCCTCAACCGCGTTCCCAGGCTGCTGAGAAAAACGATCAGAAGAGAAGAGGGATTTCCTGACTTCACAGCATGGAAAAAGGTTCAACCTCGTCCTTCTGAGCAGTGAAGGATGGTTTCTGTTGGAAAGCAAACGTAGCGATGGAGAAACATCCCAACACAGCCTGTTAGCCCTGCTCTTCAGCCACCGGCAGAGGAGACGTTGCCGAGTCCCCCGACACACTTCCTTCGAGGAATGCTTTCAAGTAACTCCAATATAAACACCACAACCCGGCGCTGGCTTTCCCAGCCCGCACCCAGCTCCAGCAGGCCCAGCGTATCCAGCAGCTCTTCCC